GTTCAACAAGCGAAAATTGCTAGTATAATAATAAGTAAGACAGACACACCTAACGCATGTAGTCAGAGAATAACATAAAAGAACATTCACAAACAGAAAACACACACACAGAGAAAAAGGAGAAATACATAAATAACCACGATGTAAAATAATCTATTTAGTGTTCAAAAAACGTTTTCTTCTCAGGTTATGGTGAAAAATTAAAGAAAAAAATGCGTTGCAAGACCTCTTTTGGCGACATTTCATATTTATATTATTTTTCACTCAAACTCAATTATAAATTGAGGTCCCATTTATTTTCAGTATTATATATATCATTTTGTGGTCCCTGAAATTCGCTATCGAATGATATATAAAGTACAGTGGTTAACGATCGGACAGTTTAGGGAAACTTTTCATTAAAAATGGCTCCATAGCAACTTTGTGTTCTTGAAGAAGGTAAAGGACGAAGAACGGTTCCTGTAAGAAAAATGGTTTAAATTGATTTGATAAATATGGTATATGGTAAATGATTTGGAATATGGTTTTTTATTTTCTTACCCAAACGTTTTGCATGATTCCAGTATCCTGCATAAAACCTCGTACACTAGAAACACTAGCGCTGACCTTCACAAATCCTAGCGAAACTAGCAAAAATTTATACCTTATTTTTGCGTGCTGAAACAAAACAAAGCTTTTTCAAAATCGTAGACATGCGATCATAACGACTAATCTTTTGTTTTCAAAATTAAAAAAATCAACCTGAATGGATCAAGTTTGACTAAGCTTTATTTATTTTATTGGAAGGCTCAAATTATTAGTAAAAAATCGTCATTTTTTGAAAAATTGGCAAAAAGTAATGAAATTCTTGTGCGCTCAATTCTAACTGAAACGTGTTTGGAGGACGGAAGTCGATAAGCGGCAAAATCGGCCCCCTCTCAGATCAAGCTCATATTCACAAGTCTGATGTAGCGTTCCTCCGTGATTAAAACTAGCACCTCAAAAGGACCATTTTCATCCTCCTCTGGGAAAAATTCCGCATCCAAACTTTTCTCCCCTTAAATGAACTTTATTTAGAGTATTTTCCCCATTTCTTCTCTTTGCCCAAAGCAAACGTCAGCTACTGCATATCATTCGATAGAGAATTTTACGGGCCACAAAATGATATATATAATATTGAGAACAAATGGGGCCTGGATGTACTAACACTAGAAATACTAGACCCGACCTTCACAAATCCATAGGTCAAATCCAAGAAAGCTCGAAAGGAATGATTTTTGATCATTTTCGCTTCAAATCATATTGAAGCATTTTCTTACAGGAACCGTTCTCCGTCCTCTACCTTCTTCACGCAAGAACACAAAGTTGTTGTGTTTTCTTGCAGAGAATTGAACAGGAAATCTTTTGGTAAAAAACTAGCTCAATCAAATGCAAGGAGGAGAAGAGAATTTGAAAATGCAAACAGTCTAATTTATTGTGCGCCACCCGATAGATTGTAAACATGAAAATATAATCCTTGAAGTAAGTGAGTATATATATATATCTGTGACGGACACTATTGAACTTGCTTCAGGATTGGGCAATGTGAAAAGTAATTTGAGAAGAGAAGTGCCTCAAATCGGACAGTTTAAGGAAACGTTCCATTAAACATGGCGCCATAGCAACTTTGTGTTCTTGCGTGAAGAAGGTAAAGGACGAAGAACGGTTCCTGTAAGAAAAATGGTTTAATATGATTTGCAGTGAAAAAGGTTTTATATTTTCTTACCCAAACGTTTTGCATGATTTCAGCATCCTATATGAAACTTCGTGCACTAGAAATACTAGCTCCGTCCTCCACAAATCCATAGGTCAACTCAGCGCTTATATTGTCCAGCCAGTATATCGTTAATCACTCTATTTTATATATCATTCGATCGAGAAGTTCAGGGACCAAAAAATGATATATATATAATATTGAGAATAAACGGGGCCTGAGTGTCCTAACACTAGAAATACTACTGGAGAGTGATGTTTTCGGCACCGACGGATAGGCTAAATCCATATAAAACCGTTTACCATTTACATCGGCCTTGACGTCAGTGACGAGATCTACCTCATATTATAGAGCTCAAAAAAGAAACTTTTGCTATTTTCACTTGATTGCTGAGAAATTAATGTGTGCGCCGGGTATTCAGATTCAAATGATTTTCCCCCTACACGAAGAGAAAGAGCGTATTTGAAACTACACAAAAATATACTGAAACTGTGTTTTAATACTAGCGAAATCATTCGAAAAAAGTTCGTTCTCTTTCAGAAGATATGTTGATTTTTTCAACATTTTAGTACTTCTCACCATTTCTCATGGCATTTTACATCTTTGAATATTGCAATATAACGATCAATACATTTTTTGCAGAGAATTCAACAGGAAATCTTTTGATAGAAAAACTAACTCAATCAAGCGTAAGGAACAGGAGACAATCTCGTCTTTGCCTGTATAAAATTAACTTCCCTTGTTCTTTTTATCTTTTTTTACTTGTTTCTTTTCATGTAACGGTTTGATGTAACTATTTTGTTGCTTACCATGCTCGCTTATAACCTTGGCTAAATAAATACAGTATAGTAGAATACAAATTAAGTTTTCGGCTTTTCTCACACCTTTAACTAAATACTTGAGAAAAAAAAGAGGATATTAGACAGAGGGCTTTCTTTTAGTGTCATAAGAATTCTTTTTGGTGTACGCTTGTGATTAGACTAAGTGCTACAGAGACGTACTTCATTTAATGAAATCTTATAGTAAACGGGATTAAGTTGTCTAATTATCACAAAACAAGATACGGATGTGCCTAAAACACTAGCATTCAGAAGGCTTAAAGTCCTCTGCAATTGTATATAATCTCGGTAAAAATAGGTGACCTCATGGTTCGATTTTGTTTTTGGACCATTGCCACAAAATTATAACGTTTTTGGAACTTTGTGCAAATCTTTAATTTTGTCAATGAGAAAAAGATTTCGTACCTACTCAGGTTCGGACCGAGCTTAAAAATGGTTCTGCGATAGTTGTCATCATTCACGTCTTTCTTAACTTCGATATAGACCGTTTTCTCTAAGAGTAGTAAAAGCTTTAATCTTTTAACGCTCATTTGACCCATCGTTGCTGATGTTGTAACCAATAATCCCCATGTTCTCTACACCCGTTCTTTACAACGCAGTTCTCAACCGATTTTGAAAGAACCAGAGTGATTAAATGAAGAATTTTATTCTTTGATTATACTATTTTTTCATACTACACTAGCATGTGTTACAGGCAAAATTAAAAGGCAAAATTTTCTTGAAAAGAGATTGAAAACTACATTTCACATTTTAAATTTGCCGGTAACTTACGCCTACAGCTGGATTCTAAACTATTATCATTATTGTCATCCTAAATGAATATATCTCCTAACAGGAACCTCTACCACCACCAAACTTCTGAGCATATGGCGAGTTTTGACTAAGATAATTAACGAATTCATCCCGGCTTACGCCACCTCTACCATTGTCTATTTGTTCCCACATTTCACATGGATCACCTTGGGTACCGTAGAATTGATTCATCGAGCTAAAAACCTGTTGTCCATACTCCGGTGTAATATAACCTTGTTGACGATTTGGATTGTATTGATCGATAACGTACTGGAATTTGTGGGCCTGATTTCCACCTTGATTCATTAAAACGACAGCTGAAACAAATTCTTCGAATGAAAGTTTGCCAGATCGATCAGTATCGAATGCACGAAATGGATGATATTGCTCATTAGCAGGCATTCCCAGTCGCCGGGCCAGTTGCTGAAACTCTTGTTTGTCCAACTGGCCATCTCTTCCAGCACTTCGTTTGAATTCATCATATAACTGAAGTAGCTGTTGTTGAGGTATGCCACTTGATCGTTCAAGAGATTGAAGATCCCATTGCCGAAAACGTGGACATTGCTGCTGGTTGCCCATAGTTTGTCTGTGGTTGATAAGACTGAAGAAAAAGTAATACTGATACTTGTTCTATCGCACACAATGGTTAGACCGTTATTGTATTTTCTTTTATACAGAAAAAAAGGAAGCTTGTATTCATGATGATGATTAGTAAAACTGACTTTATGATAAAGTCAGTCGACCATGAGACTTATTCATGACTATTTTTCTTCGTAAGTTATAGATATTAACGTTTTTGCGCATTAATCTTGGATGGCGTCCTCTGTTTTATTGACAAAATTTGTTTTCATATGTACAAAAACTGATTTATAAAATATGGTATTTTGGTCATGGTTCGACGAAAATTGTATCTTATTTTTCCTAAATGCACCACATGTTGAAAGTAAAAAACTCACGACTGGATACAGAGATCCTTCAGAAAAAACATTTAATCGGCTTGTGTAAAGGAAAGTTTAAAATTGTTTAAAATTTCTTTAAATGAATGAAATATAGTTGAACGATGTAGTCATCAGTTTGAAGTACAACAGCAAGCAAGCTAGACATTTCATCTATATTTTTCACTATTGATCCATTCATTTGGTGTCACCGTATAATGGGTACACTCTGCATCACCTCTACACCACGAACTCATCAAATTTTTACCAGCCTAAGCTATAAATGGGGTAAGTACTTGTCTGGTAGCGCTACTATCAATCAGTGCAGTTGTATAACTGTTGCCAGTACCTACAACAAAAAATCAGACTAAAAAGTGGATATAAACAGTTATGACGGACAGTGTAGGCCTATTGACCAATTGATAATCACACCCTTTTATTCCAAACTCGTGCTGAACACTTGAATTTACAGTTATCCAGTCGCCCTTTGTTTTGTCCGCAAACCCCGTTTCCTGTTTTCTCTAACACAGACGTCAAAACTCCATGAATTCATATGAGAGTGTAGAAATTAGGAAAAAAGAAGTTTAGATACGAATCCATTCCAACGGTTCTGTTATCTGGATAAATATAAGTAGTAACTCAAATATTTTTACGTAGATCGACAGGTCTGAATGTCAGGTACATCACTATCTAAAAGGTTCTGCTTAATCCTAAAAGTTAACGGAGAAAAACACGAAATACGAAACTGAAAAAATTTAGTATCGAAATTAGAGCATGTGACTATACGACGTTCTAACGTTGTAGATGAACGCCCACTCATCTACATAAGAACGTCTAATTTCTTCCATTTTTCAGTTTTTTATTTGTAATACAGAATCACCTGTTGTTTGCTCATTATTGCTGATCGTTTCTTCCTTTCTACGGGTAAGAGTCAATCGGTACGATCAATAGAAAACGAGAATAGGAAAAGTACTTTCTTTTATCGACATCTATCATCGGGTAACATATTTTTTGATTAAATCTTTATTAAAAAGAAAGTATAAACCTGAGCACAAAGGGTTAAAACCTACTTTAGCACTATACACAGAAACACACACATGTAAACATAAGGCCGTAAAACATAACAAGAGATGAATAAATAAAAGAAATAGAAGAAGTCTTCGTCTTATCCTTAGAGACATTACACCTCCACTATTGGTTACAAGAGTTTTATTGAAGCTAAAGGTTGAGCATCACAAAGATACATTTGAAGAGAAAGGAAGTTGCAAAAGATTTTTGAATGACTTATCGTATTTAAGATTTTACTTAGATTTTTTCTTATTCAAACTTAATTACAAAAAATTTTATTTTCTTTGTCCTGTAAAATTTAGAGTTTCCTTTCCAACGGAAGAATAATTTAATCGCCAGCGCAGACTTCTATAGAACTAGAGTTCAATTTACTCTCACCACATGTAGCACACCCACTTAATCGAACTTAGTGTTGATACGTGACAGATGGGAATCCAGGCTGCTTAAAGCGATTAGTCATAGATATAAACTTTAAAATAGGATGATATGTCTCTGTCATATTTTTTGAAGACCGAAAAGGTTTGGGACCATGGGTGAGTGGACGGATGGTCTGAACAATCAACATCTCTGCTAAATACACAATTTGGTACCGTTTGGATATTTCAGAGTCGGGCATCTTGTCTTCGAATGAAAGTATTTGGTCCGATAAAGGAACTCAAACGGCATTTACTCACATAAATATCTAAGTGTGGCAAATTATTTGACTTCTCAACTTGGTATTGCTTATATTTTTGAAAACTCTGCTTGTATTTCGCAAATAAAACGGTTTTATTCAGTTGAATCAAGTTAATTTTTCCAGAATCGGACAAATCATGTCATCTTACATATGTCTAACTATTTTCAGACTTATTGATCCATTACATCACGAACACTGCGCCCGTTTATTAACCGTTTATTGGAGACAAAAGCTCAGTTTTAAAAAAATTTTGCTTCTCTAATGAAGGAACCTCTTGAGGTTATAAATCGCTTTTGAACTCAGACTACTTTTATTTTGTAGATCTTAGTGAGTAGTGAAATACCCTAAGTTGGTTTGTGTCCATGGTGCTTTGTTGCTGAGATACTAAATTTTTAGTTAGTTTTTGCCTATAGTGCTTGGATTTCGAGCAAAATCCGACTTTCGAATTTTGATTTCAAATTTACTACACTTGTAACCCATGGTCACAGTAATCCGACGGAAAAATATTCGGTGCTAATGAATTTTCCTGCCTTGAGATATTGAGACTCGCATATCTGATCCTCAACCGTACCTTCTGATGAAATGTTCGAGTCTCAATATCTAAAGGCAGGAAAATTCATTAGTACCGAATATTTTTCCGTCGGACTACTATGACCATGGGTTACAACTGTGATAAGTTTGGATCAAAATGTATTCAAAAATTATTTTTCAAAATCTCTGAGGAGAGACCTACAATCTAAAACAATTGTTGTTGAAGCTCAAAAACAAAACACGTTGTTTGTTTGTTTAGAATTTAATGCTAATCACAGCCATATAATTTTTTGAACAAATATTACGGGTAAGCAAACGTATTTATGATCCCTTATCCTTTATTTTTAATGACATATCTTTTTTCTTTCTTTTCTTTTTTCTTTGTGCAAAGTTTTTATCGTGATATCTGTTCACATTGTCAAATTCTGACTGTTATGTTCTTCAGTAATTTTGCATACAATTTACAATGATTAACTGTGTCTTTAATTTTTTTCTTCAAACAACTTTGCTTTTTTGTACTTGTTGCAGAACACATTGTTTTTTATTCTGTACAAGTATAATATCCTTATCATTTTTCTTTCCTTTCATGTTATGCATCAATATTTATATCGATCACGAAATAAAAAATTGCTTCTTTCGGGTTTTTTTCCCAACTGAAGGAAAAAAATTTGATTTATAGTTTATTTATATTATTTCATTTTAGTCACTTCGAACTATTTGACTAGTTGTTTTACTTACAGATGACTCATAAAACTTTAAAGATACCAACAGTGAATTTAAACCAATTTATAATAGTAAAAAGATATTTCGAAAACAATTCATAATAAAGAAAAATATTCGTCCATATACAAACACTAGTACGTACATATACAACTCATTCCCAGTTTGCGGGCTAATTGACTTTTAATATATTGTTCAATTTCCCATTTTGCGAGCTGAAAAATAAACGAAAAAATTTTCCATCTTACAAGTCAATTAATTAAGAAAAAAATATAGATTCTTTCGTTCTATAAGTAATCGTATTTTGTTAATAAGATAAAGAATAAGAAGATGCAGCTCTCTGTTACAAATCAAATTCAAAGTGTTCCTAATCTTAGAACGCGAATGTTCTCAATTTGTTGTAACAGGACTAATGACTGAATTCTAAGTTTCGGATTCAAGCGCTTAAAACAACCGATTGTTCATCTTAGTCTGTTTACTTATATAATGAAAGAATCTATATTTTTTTCTTAATTAATTGAGTTGTAAAATGTGACATTATTGCGTTTATTTTTTGGCTTGCAAAAATAGGAAATTGAACAATATATAAAACGTTAAGGGTACCCCGCCCCTCTTTTTTCACCTTGTTACCAAATGCGGAGCACACGTCCGATTAATCTCAAACTTATAGCAGAGATAGAACATCAAAAAAGAAAAGCGATTTATTTTTACCCAGAATTTTCTGAGATGTTCTTATAGGGGTTGACGGAAAACGTCGAAAGGAAAAATGTCGATAAAAAAATAGCAAAACGTCGTAGAGGAAAATGTAGAAGAGCAAAATGCCGAAAAGGCAAATGTCGAAAGCGGATAATGGAAGAAGGAAAGTATTGAAAGGAAAATGCCGAAAAGAACGAGATTTCTTTCTATTCCTTTGAAAATCACTGAACGTGGGGGTGAGGGTGAGGCGTTCATCGTAGCAGCCATACTGAACTTCATCAGACTTTACTTTAGTACAGAAATCTCCTCCTTTTCGGCGTTTTCCTTTCGATACTTTCCTTCTTCCATTATCTGCTTTCGACGTTTGCCTTTTCGGCATTTTGTACTTGTACATTTTCCTCTTCGACGTTTTGCTCTTTTTTTATCGACATTTTCCTTTTCGACATTTTTCCTTTCGATATTTTCCACCAAGACCTTCTTATATGAGTTTTCTAGAAAGCTCCAATTTTTGTGAAAACTTCAGGATTGATTTTGTGTTTTGATAGTTTAAGTTTCAGAATGATATAATGGGAATTTATATTCTCGATTTCGTTCTGGTCCAAGATTAAAGCTTAAACCAACTCCAGTTTTCATCCAGTCACATTACGACCCCTGGAAAAAGGGGCTCAATCGAGCTCGAAGTGTTACCACAGATACTTAACGTCCTATCTAAGGTTCTACATGTCTTTTTCCTAAAAATATGCTTTCCTTCTCAAGGTATGCGAAAAACGTTGAAAGTCAGTGAAAACCCCTGAAAAAAATCTGACTTTTTTTGCGTGATTTTCAGCATAATCCGTATATCTCGAGTAGGAAAGCAAATTTTTCGGAAAAAAAACATGTGGAATCTGAGATAGAACCTTAAGTATGTGTGGTAAAACTTCGAGCTCGATTGGGCGGTTTTTCCAGGGGTCGTA